AGTTCTGCCTCTCTGGGCTTCCTCTGATCTTTCTGGAATGTGCTAAGCCTGTTTCTGGACTATATTCTTGGTCAGAGGTTGACATGGCTCCTGTTAATCGTCAACATTTGAGTGTGATGCAGAGAAAGATCAGAGCAAGCTCACTACTGCTGACAGTTGTGTGGCCCTTACTCACCACTTCCCTCCAGACCCTGGTAGGAAGGCAGAGCTCTGAAGCTGATCAGCTGATCAAGGTGGATTAAAGAGTCAGCCTGGGGTTAAGGTACGGTCAAGAGGATGTATGCCTCTAATGTCCCGTTGAGATGGGTTGCAAGATCCCCCAGGTAGCTCTAATGGAACTGGAAATGAAACAACTGTGGGCTGCTGGCCCTCCTTCCCTTGGTGCACATGAGGGGAAGCCATAGCCGAGGCCTTACAAGGTCATGAGGAATGAGTAGCAACTGAGCCAAGAGGAAGGAAGGGAGACTGAATGATTACAGAGAATATTCAACACGATGGGGAAAATACCCACAAAGGAGACAGGCTGGTTGCTCCCAAGGTTTTTAGGATACTGTTTAAGAGTCCCTAGAGATACTAGCAGCTAAACAAACAACTATTTTTGACAAGGGCCTTTGAACCACAGCCTAGCCAGCTCCAGGTCCCTCAGAGCTGTGGATTTGAGCTCCCAGAAACACAGCCTAAAGGGAATACTTGTTTATTGACATTCTCAGCCATGGTGTTTCAGACCTTGCAGGAATCTAGATGCTTTGATGGGGAATGATACCTGTCTGAAGTTCATGCTATGTGAGCTAGCTGTCAATGAAAACAAAAGCAAGAAGCCCAGGATGACCAGTTTCCTGCATGAGGTCACCATGCGTATTCTGGAGTGCAGACATTTAACTACATATTCTCACTGTAGTTGGTGTCTTGGCCACTGTGAGGCTGCTGCTCACAGCTCTCAGTGACTTGTGACATCTCTCAGTATTTTCTTCTCTAGGTCCCTGAATTTGTTTCTTTTCCTGTTGCTGGGATAAAGCTCCTGACAAAAGCAACTTGAGAGAGAAGGGTTTCTTTGGACTCGTAGTTCAAGGGTGCAGCCACCCTGGCAGCTGGTCAGGTGGCAGGAAGGTGTAGCTGCTAGTCACATCACATCCATTGTCAAGAAGCAGAGCGATGGAGGCCTGCTATGCTCAGTTCTCTTTTTCCATTTGTGCAGCCCTGGCTCCCACCAGGCAATAGTGTCTCCACAGGGCATGGGTCTTCCCACCTCAATATGTAATCAGGACAGTTATCCATGGGCATGCCCAGTGGCCCACCTCCCAGGCAATGATAGATTCTGTCATGTTGACAATGGCCACTAGCCATCACAGTTTCCACAGTCCAGTCTGGTTTTCTTCCTTGCATCCATCACAAACTTAACAAAACTGGGACTGTCCATCTGTCTTTTTCTTGTCTTTTCCTAAGTTCGTTTATTTTTCTCTTCTTTTTCTTTTTGTTTTTATCTGTCTCCTTCCTTCACACACAGGGAGACAGGAAAGTTTCTGAAAGACCATGTAGCACACCAGCGTTTTACCAGTGGTTACTCCTAGCTGAACGGGATTATGTGAGCTTTATTTATTTACTTACTTACTTACTATTCTTTTAAAAATAAGGTACAAGATTTAATGAAATCAGAAATCAGAAGGAGGGCAGGGCAGGGGCCGGAAAGTCTCTGCAATTCTGAGTTAGATAGGGGATAAACAGTGAGACTCAAGAAGAAAAGGAGGAGGAAGGGGATGAGGTGGATTTGGAAGAGGAGCTACCACCACTGTTACAACTACTAGACACATGCCTGGAACCTCAACCCTGGGGAGGTTGAAGCAGAAGAATCTATGAGTTGGAGGCCAGTGTGAGCTACATATCAGATCTCAGGCCGTCTTGGGCTACACAGTGAGATACTGTCTCAGATACGGTATGCAAACAGGTATGTAAGTTAAATAACATGACAACAGCAAAGAAAGAACACTCTGATTACAGTCCTTGGGATATTTAGAAAGAAGAGCTTCCATCCCAGGATTGGGTGCTGAAGAACTTGGGACTTGCAGGTGGGGCAGGAAGAAAATTGGACACGATATCCACCTTTGTTAGCTGGACTTCGGGGCTTCTAAAGGTTCCTTTACCTGGAAGCGAGAGCAGAGCAAAGAGTGGCAGATTTGAGGAAGATGATAGTTTCCAGTTTTCAACAAATTGAGTCTGAGCTGCCCAAGGGTCCTGCCTGGAGAGCCAATTGGCAGGTCGTTCTGAATTTAGAGAGAAGCACATTCCAAAGGGGAATCTGGAAATCTGGGAGGTGAGGATTGGTGGTTATACCCTGGATATAACTAATTTGCTGGGGTGGAGGAAAGAGTGAGGTATGAGAGCTGAGTTGGAAATTTCACTTTAAAAAGTCATTCTATGACTCTTTTATCGACTGGAATAAGAAGGAGGCACTGGGGGAGATTGTGGGAACCCCAGATAGACAGGGGACCTCTGGAAGCCAGAGCAAACCATTCATAGGATGAAGGCTCCCTCATGGCAAAGTATCTCACGATGTCCCGGAGGAAGTGCTGGCCTTTTGGAGTGTAGATTCTGTGTATTGACTCAGGACACCCAGACATATTTCCTGCGGATCAGAGTCAGGAGTCAGGGCTGAGAAGGGAACCCTCTGCATCAAGATTCAGTTTCTGAGAAAAGGCCTTAAGCTAGGAGGATCAGAGCAGAGGAGAGGAAAAATGGGACAAGGGATGTCTTAACTTCATGAGGTACAATTAGTGTTTCCTGCCTTCTCTTTTCCTGGAAGAACTGGGAGTGGGAGGCAGCCCCGGGAAGGATGAGGAGATGGACCATGGGAGGTAGCCCCGGGAAGGATGAGGAGATGGACCATGGGAGGCAGCCCCGGGAAGGACGAGGAGATGGACCTAATGAACTGTGCCCATTGTTCTCATTTCTGGGTGGATGTGGAACTCCTGCAGTGCTTTCTTCAGGGATGTTATAGAGGATGAATTCATTAGCTGCTGCCAAAAAATGAACTGAAAGAAACAGCCTAGTTGGCCAGCTGGAAGCGCTCCCGAAACAAGCTGCAAACTAGAAAGGCTCTGACTGGGGAGACTTGGCTTCCCGTGACTTTGGAGCTGCAGATCCCACTGTATTGGATGGCAGTGTGGGCCCCAGCATGAGACTCCCTCCCTTTCCTTCCCCTTCCCTCCCCTCCCTTCCCCTCACTTCCTCTCTTTTGTTTACTCCTAGTCCTCTCATGCTTTCTCCCTTTCCCACTACCCCTCTCTCAATTCTTAAGACAAAATCTCCCCCCATGTAGCTCAAACTGGCCTTAGCCTCAGCTCAGACACCAGCCCTGAATGCTGGGATTGCAAGTGCACTACTATGTCCATCTTCAAACTCTTTTCTTTATAGAATATCTGCATGTTACTCTGTTTCAGAGATTCTATAATATTTTAAAATTCTATGACAGTGGCCCAAGAAATGACTCAGTGAATAAAAACTCTTGCCACCAAATCCAATGACCTTACTTCAATCCCTGGGACCTACATAGTAGAAAGAGAGACTCTTGAAAATTGTCCTTTGATCTCTACACAATATTGCACAAGTACACACACCTTACCCACCCACACAAATAAATAAATAATGTAATAAAATCTTTGAAAAGGACTACTGTCTTAGTCAAAGTTCTATGACTGTGAAGAGACACCATGACCACGGCATCATACAAAAGAAAACATTTAATTGGGGCTGGCTTAAAGTTCAGAGGTTTAGACCATTATCGTCATGGAAGTGAGCATGATGGCATTCAGGTAGACATGGTGCTTAAGAGTAGTTGAGAGTTCTATAGCCTGATACATTGATACATAGGCAGCAGGACAAAAGAAGGAAAGACAGGGGGAGGGAGATAGAGACAGAGACAGAGAGAGAGAGAGAGAGAGAGAGAGAGAGAGAGAGAGAGAGAGAGAGAGAGAGAGAGAGCCAGCCAGCCACTGGACCTGGTTTGAGCTTCTGAAACCTCAAACTCCACCCCCAGTGACACACTTCCTCCAGTAAGGACACACCTACTCCAACAAGACCACATTCCCTAATATTTTCAAATATTGCAATGCACTCCCTATGAGCCTATGGGGACCATTTTCATTCAAACTGTCACAAATATATTTATTATTAGCTTTAATTTTATAATTTGTTACACGATAAATCATTCATTCAGCACTACACCTGTGCAAGCCACTTCCTAAATGTTACTGGGTGATAGGATGATGAGTGAAACCCACCTGCAGAAACCTTAGCATCTGTTATGGAAAAAAGATATAAAACAAGCCATCATTACTCTGAAATGTACTTTATGACAGGAGTGTGTTAAAATTGAGGACCAGATTAGAGGAAGGAATGGCAGGTCTCTTTGGAACACTGAGGACAACTTTCATAGTGAGAATTTAGCCCATCTTTCTAGGTACTGGACAATGATGAGTGGTTTCTTAGGACAAAGCAATGTGGAAGAACACTCTAGCTCAGGAGAATGATGGCTGTGATCTGTAAGTTGGCTCAGAAGATAAAGATGTTTGTTATTAAATCTAATAACTTGAGTTCAGCCCACAGGACTCATATGGTGGAAAGAAATAACTTCTACAAAATGTCCTCTGACACACTCACTCATGTGACATGCCAAGTGTGCATTCACATACATACCCATACACACATATACAAACATACAAAATGAAGCCTTAATTTAAAAGTTTGGGAAGAGAATGTGAAGATGCATTGATCTGACATACCACGGCTGGTAGCAGCATGTGACCTAGGATTGAGTAAAACACTCATTTAAGTCTTCTATTCAGCTGTCATGTATTTCTACCATGTTCCAAATGGTGACAAGTGCCCTTTACATAGCAGACATTGAATACAAATCCTGACACTGGCCCTGGTAGTCGGTTTCTTAGTCAGGGAACAAGCGGACTAATGGGCTCAGGTGTGACCAAGTTGGGTTTTTCTTTGTCTAGACCAGGGAAGCCCTCGTCACGATTCTCAACGATCTCCGACCCCAGGATCATTTCAATATCATTGGGTTTTCCAACCGGATCAAAGTGTGGAAGGACCGCTTGTTACCAGTGACTCCTGATAGCATCAGGAATGGCAAGCTCTACATTTACCACCTGTCACCCACTGGAGGTAAGAGGGATTTCTTCCGGCCTTTCTACCCAGTGTTGACATGATCATAGGTCCATTTTCTGTAAAGAAACATGGCTTGGAAAGTTGAAGCTGATACTAACCAGGAAAGCAATAATAACAATATTCCCAGGTGCCTATATTTCTTCAAGTTTACAAATTCTCAGCTCCTAGACCTTAAGTTATCATTGGAAAATCCATCCATAATTTGGATCCTGAACAAGGAAGCTGGTTTTGGGAAATAGTCTTAGTTGGAGAATAATTTTAGGTTTATCTTTATCTACTTGTATGTGTGTGTTTCTATAAATCGATGACACCTAAGTAGGAGTGCCAGTGGAAACTAAAAGAGGGCATCAGATCTCCTGGTGCTGGCATTACAGGTAGTTGTGAGTTCTGGGAACTTGCCTCTTCTGGAAGAACAGGAAGTAGTCTTAACCGCTGAGCTATCTCTCCCTAGGATGGAGATTTGAAGCCCAAGCGCACGATCCAGTGTTTTGTATTCTAACAGTTGCAGCTGGAACTGCCCTGTAAAACAAGCTATGGTCTTGTTTGAGCTAAAGCATGGTGAGAAGGCATGAATCTCAGATGCTCTGGGCTGGGCTGTGGATGTGAAGTGGAAGGAGGAGAGTGCTGGTCTCCAAGTTCCCATATGCAAACCTTGAGCATGTGTGCTGAAGGGTAGGACAGGGGCGTGAAGACAGGGAAGCTTTCTAAGACTGCAGAACCAGGCGCTCCGCTGCCCACTGTGCTGTGACTCCTTTCTTTAAAAGAAAAATGCCTTCCGTTTATTATTATTGGGGGGAGGCAGCATGCACGTCGCCTGGTGGTCCCACAGCAGTCAGAGAATGTCTTTGCAGAGTTGATTCTCTCCTTCAGCCTTATGTGGGTTCCAGGAACTGAACTCAGATTGTCAGGCTTGCATAGCAAATGCCTTTACTTGATGGGTCTTCTCACCAGCTCCCACCTGGCCCTTTCTCAAAGGCAGATACGCTATCTTGTGGACTTCTCACATTTGTTAATTCTACTTTCAGTAACTGGAAACACTATGTAAACACCCAAGTGAGCCTTCCCCCATCTAAAGATGTTTATTTCCTTGTAGTCATCATCTTCCATCCAGTTACTGGAACTGTTTTATCATTGGGCAGGGGAAATAAAATATTAGATTTGATATCATAGTTATTATCTATGGCAGGAAATTGACAAGACTGTGAAGTCCTTCCTCTTTGTAGCCCCTAAGTCCTAGTATGCCTGTTAACACATGATGTACATTCAGTGATTATCTGATAATTTATGCTAGTGGCATTCTCACTATTGGAATGGTGTGCATAATGGAGAGATAATAGACATCTTTAGAAAATAGTTATTATTAGGTATTATGTTCATTTGAAACCCAAACTATTTGTTCTCTCTCTCTCTCCCTCACTCCCCCCCCCACCATATAATATATATGTGTAGATGCCCATGTAGGCCAGAGGAGGGCAGTGTTTCCTAGAACACTTGTGAGTTGTTTAAAAGTGTACTGAGAACTGATCTGGGTCCTCTGCAGGAGCAGTAGGAGGTCTTAGCCACGAAGCTTTCTCTCATTTATTTTTTTGACACTTCATTGCCGAGCCCTTTGCTGGAGAGCATTGGAGGACTCTGCATTTTCTATGAAATGCACTTTCCAGGTTGGGACTTAGCTTCTGAAGCTTGATTTCCTGCATTTGAATCCAGCTCCACTATCTATTAGTCGTTTGCCTCTTTCCTCATCCACGAAATAAGAGGATGGCAATAACCTGGCTATCCGAGTGAAATAGTTAAAATATTCCAAGTGTGTTGAAGGGCCATAGCAGGTAAGAGGTTTGTTCTCCTTAAGTGTCAGATGTGATCTCTGTTTTTATCCAACTGAGTAGTCCCTTTTCTGTCCCCTGGGCATCCACTGAGCTCTCAGAAGAATGGTTGGACAGCTGTGTAGGACACTGCTTGTGGAGAGGACCCAATGATGGTGAGCAGACAGGAAATGTCTTGCCTCAGGACAGCTGTGTTTCTGAGCCCTGATGTACCATGCATGCGACCTTAAAAACTAAAGCTACATTTTTACCCTGCTCTCCTTGGCTTTAGAGTGGAGGGAGCGATTTGGTATTGTTAGTGCAGATTAAAGACAGTACAGACACTTGTTACTTATTCATGCCCACATATATGGAGATGAAATGAAACTGGACGTGATGAATAAGGCAAATTAATGACTCAAATGCTAGATTCTGTTTCAGCTGCACTTCTCTCATCTATCTGGTCTCTGTGTACTTTAGCAGGATTTACTGATGTATTTGTCCAGAGCATGGACTATCCACTTTTCTTTTTTTCATTTATTTTCTGCTTTGAGACAATGTCACTCTATAGCCCAGGATGGCCTCAAACTCTCAGAAATCCTCCTGCTTCAACTTCCTGAATGCCGAAAATACACATATGCATCACTATGTCCAGCTTCATGTGTGTGTGTGTGTGTGTGTGTGTGTGTGTGTGTGTGTGTGTATGTATGCTCGCACAAGCGTGCACGTGTGTTGAGGACAGAAATCAGTTCTTTTTTATTATTATTATGAAGCTGTTGGTATTTTGCTTGGTTTTTCTACTGGCTAGCTCTGACTTAACTGACTTAAGTATTTAACCCATAATTGCTAATCTAAGTATTTCTCTTACCGGAGAAAAGGGTCCAGACCTCTTACTCCTCTGGCGGCCTACATCGTATCTCCATAATTTGGTTCTTTTTAACATGGTACATTTTTTCCCATTCCAGACAGGGCTCTGGAGAGTGGTTGGGGCAGCACAGCTCTACATTTTACTAAAAACACTGTTTAGCATGTGAAAACATTTTGACATACACATTTTATCTCTAGCCAAGTTAAAAAAGCCAATGAGTTAAAATGAGGGTGTTTGGTGTATAAGTTTTATCTCAGTGATTAGAAAGAATCATTAAAAGGAACAGATGTTCAATGCTACAGTAAGAACAGAGTTCCCTCCTGGTCGTAATGATGCGGCTGATAAGTTGAATGGAATTTTTAGGTAATCCAGAAACACTACTCTTGCAGTCGCTTTCCATGTCACCCAATCAACTGACAATTTCTCCAAGAAAACAGTAGTTTAGCATCTGTTCAAGGCACTATCTGACTGCTTTAATCAGAGATACGATTAAACATATACTTTTAGATGCTCCAGACTTGGGATGGCAAGGTCAGGGAGGTGTGTGTGTGTGTGTGTGTGTGTGTGTGTGTGTGTGTGCGTGCGTGCATGCGCGCTCATGCACATGCATGTGTGTACCTTCTCAGTTCTGAGAGGTTTTTTACATTGGGATCATTTCAAGTCACTTGCATTTACTTAGCAAACACTTGTCAGATTTCTAGCTAGGCCATAGAGTCACCCTGGAAGTGCAGCTGCCTGCATCCAAGTGCTGCCCAGACCCTCAATGGTGAAGGCTGCTGCAGCTGTTACTGTGCATTCAGAGGTAGAAGGTGAGTGCAAAGTCATGAGCTGTCCTGTGTTGATGTTCTACAGGCACCGACATCAATGGGGCCCTCCAGATGGCCATCAAATTGCTTAACAATTATGTGGCCCAGAATGATATTGAAGATCGGAGTGTGTCCCTCATCGTCTTCCTCACTGATGGGAAACCCACCTTTGGGGAGACCAATACCCTCAAGATTATCAGCAATACCAAAGAAGCCACTGGAGGTCAGATCTGCATCTTTACCATTGGCATCGGCAATGACGTGGACGTCAAGCTGTTAGAGAAACTTTCGCTGGAGAACTGTGGTCTTTCACGGCATGTTCATGAAGAGGAGAAGGCAGGAGAACAGCTCATCGGGTCTGTTGTCTGTCTTCTCATAACCAGAGGCTGGGGCAGGGGCTGAGGGTGGATACAGTAAGAACCTGGAGCTGAGGATAACTTTGCATGGGCCTTATCCTCACATCTGTTGGAAACAAAGACAGCTCATTGCATTGAGGAATATTGTAGTGTGTTTTATTCTTATTTTTAAAAATTATTATTCTGTAGCACTGGTCTTGAGGATGCTAAGTAAATGATTCACCCACCACTGTGCTAGCCCTTCTGATATTCCAGTTTGAGATGTGAGTCTTGCTAAATTCCTCAGATGGCCTTGAACTTGTGATTCTCCTGTCTCAGTCCGTACAGTAGCTGGAGATTACATGGATATACCACCGTGCCTGACTAATAATGTGCTTTGAATCCAGGCAGATTCAAGTTTAATATGTGGCTTTATGCAGGTTTTTAGGACTGTCCTTGTCTCAGTTTCCTCTTCTGCAAAATGAAGGTTACAGCTGATGGTAGTTTAATGAGGAAAATTAAGTAAAGCTTTGGCACAATTGGTATTACCCATTAGCAATCAATGTAGGATTAAATTGATATTTTGAATAACTGGTGAAATGATATTATAATGTGAAGCAAAATGATCAATTAAGACTGATGAAAACTCAAAATGTTTTTTGTGGGAAAAAAAGTGGTAGAAAAAAAATCTAGACCTTAGGTCTTCTAAGACAGAATTACCTTTTCTGAGAGACCATGTTGCTGGTTATGTTGCATGATTTTGTTATTGGCTGATTAAGTACTGTCTCCAGGTTCAGCACAGTGGAACTCAGTCAACATTGTGCAAATATGGGATCTATTGCAAAGGAAAAGTCTGCTTTATCTAGAGTTTTTTCGTAGCCACAATCAAAGAAATTTATGAATCATAAGCTGACTGAAAGTCTTTAAGACATGCAATTAAAAACAGGTGATTGCTAAGGGAATGACTGGCTACCATTTTTCTCCTGGGATTTTAATGCAAGAGTTAAGTGAGCACACAGATCTGCTTCCTACACCATAAAAATTATTCAAAACCAAATTCAAAGAGAGAAAAACTTACTGTACTATATCATAGAACTGGGATTTAGTCAGGAGGTCACAAAGAAAAGCAATTACATTGAAGCCAATTAGTTACACTGCCATTCTACTGGGAATGCTGTCCCTACCTTGCATTTCCCAAGAACTTAAAAGAACCATGCATTTTTTGTATATTCATCATGTCCTATGACCCTATGTGGTTGGGGTCCTCCCCCCATCACGGGCAGGTAGATAAGTCTAGAAGTTACAATGCTATACCGACGCCTCTGGCTATAAAGGCTTACTAAGTGATTTATTTAAGGCTCCTCTGATAGTTGATACAGGTTAGCCCCTGCTCCATATAGTCATTCAGTGGCCCAGGTTGATTCCACTTCATTGCTCTGTGTCCCACTTAGGAGTTATCCTTATCTGCAATGTTGAAAGTAGGTCAGTGTCATTTCTGATCTCTCGTCCCAACAAGAGTAAAGAAACTATCGTGAGCACAAGCTGTTTTAGTGCAAGCAAGTGTCTTGGAAGATGTTTCATCGGCTATCAAAATGCTGCGCTAAGAGAAGTGCAGGAGGCCATCACGCGTAGTCAGACCTAGACCCTAGAGAGTCTGAGTTCTCCGGATTGACTACCTATAGCCCAGCCAGGCCCTGATTCTGTCTGTCCTTCCTCTGCAGGTTCTATGATGAAATCCGAACCCCGCTTCTTTCTGACATCCGCGTAGATTATCCTCCTGACGTAGTAGAGCATGCCACCAAAACCCTATTCCCCAACTACTTCAATGGTTCTGAGATCGTCATTGCCGGGAAGATGGTAGACAGGAAGTTTGATCAGTTCCATGTGGAGGTCACTGCCAGCAACAGTAAGAAATTTGTCATCCTGAAGAAAGACATCCCCGTGGAGTCCCAGAAGCTGGGGAATGACGTCACAGCCACCCCCGGGCCTGCCCGTGATGGTCGGGAGGACCCCAATCACGTTGAGCGTCTTTGGAGCTACCTCACTGTGAAGGAACTGCTGAGCTCCTGGCGGCAGAGCAGCAGTGAACAAGAGAAGGAGCAGCTGAGGCAGAAGGTGCAGGCTTTAGCCTTGAACTATCACTTCCTCACCCCCTTCACCGCCATGAAGCTGAAGAAGCCAGGGCCTCGCACAGACGGGCTGGAGGACACCCGCGGCATGTCTGCAGCCACAGGACCTGAGACAGTGGTACAGAGCCTGCCAGGAGCTGACACACAGCCAGGTAGCACAGGCTCAGGGGTGGCCTGTGTGTGAGTGCCAATTCCTTATAAGGCCAAGGGAACCTCAGCAGAAGTCTGTTTTGTTTTCTCATATTGCACTTATTATAAGCAATGGCCTTACATGAAGTGCACGGTCACCAGATGCCCTCTCGAATAGGTATACTCCTTATAAACTGTAGCTCACAAGAGTCATGAAAAAGAATGGCAGGCAGCTGAAAAATGTTGCCCGCTGAAATCAGCACATCAGGCTCAGACAGAAGGACAGTGAGTTTGAGCTCAGCCTGGGTTATGTAGTAAGAACCTGTCTCAACAAAACAGAAACATATACGTTAAAAAAAAAAAACAATGTGTGGACTCTTGAAAATTCCTGATCTACACACTGGCCATTTTGATGCCAGTTGACAGAGTCCTCAGTAACAGGAGAGAAGTCCAAACCAAAGCAAAGGCTGCATCATTTCTACCACCAACAAGTGGAAAGTGGCCTGCTTTTTAATGTGTAACATTTTTATAGTTCTTGTCAAATTTCCATCTCCTAGAGAGGAGACTGAAGTTAACCAGACCCTCTCAGAATCCCACAAATGCTGGTTAATTTATTTCTCAAGTTAAACTCTGACAAGCACGTGCAGTGGCAGAGAGAACATGAGGTTTGGATCCGGGGACCCTCCCAGGCAGCTGTGAAGTTCAGGACACACTTAACAGGCCTCCCCGAGAGTACAGTTGCTTGCCTATAAGTGGGGATAATAATACGTTCCATGAAGTCCATTGCCAGGACTAACTGTTCAGCCGGTATCCTTTGGCACAGAAAGAAGTGTTCTATTACTATTGGCTGTCTTTCTTTCCCATGGGATGTGTAGTCCCGTAAATGTCTTGAAGATTTCAGGCCCTCGCGTGCAAGCCTCTCCCAGTCTCAGATGGAGCTTGTGCTGGCAAAGTTTGTGACACTTCACTGTGATGTTTCTCATCTCCACCTGCTGCTCTCTGTGCCTCTCCATACATCTTTAACCACATAACAGCTATTCTTTTCCGTGTCCTTTTTAGGACCTGCTCTCAAGAAACCATATAGCCCAAGAATTAAAATCTCTAAAACATCAGGTAAGTGGATAATGGAGAGTAAGGGATTTTTTCAATTCTCTGAAGCCAGTAAAAGCAGGAGCACAGAAGGTGTCCCCATGACCTGCTTTATTCAGCAGCATGAGGCACATGAACCAGAACCAGCAGGAGTCACTTTAGAAACAGCAGAGATGACCCAGCCTGGCAGCAGTGCCAATAGAGGGGATGAAGAGTGGTAGCTCATTTTCCCATTGCTGTGTTTAGAGGACACTGGGTTTTGGAGAGTGAAGTGTGCGTCCAGCCTTTGCGATCCCAAAGATAAAAATGGTGTAACAAAAATAAAGATGTCTGGCTGTATAGGCAGAATTTTTCTTTTCTGAATTTTTGCTGTTTTTGAGTCCTTGGCTCGGAAGGGAACCACAGACTGAAGATGTAGTAAAATTTTCCTTTTGGCAGCATCTTCTAAGAATAGAATATAGTAAGAATCAGGATGGAAGAACGTCTGGGTTTTATTCTCCCAGTGTCCACGTTTTCCCTTGTAAGTTCTGATTCTTGCCTTTCTGCGAATGAGCCAGACGTGCCAGTTCACAAAGCCTGGGACATCCCGTGATTAGCTGTGGGGATACAAGCACATAGTGTCCCGTGGAGAGAATGCGTTTTCTAATGTGCATCTGTGCTGTGGAACGCAAGGAAACCTTTCTCCTGGAAGCTGCCTGTGGGGGTGATTGCTGGACCCCTCCACACACTTTTGGAACAAACAACAGCTTCTCTTGTACAAAAATAGGGTGGAAATTATGTTTTCAGTGCAGTAGAAACTTCCAGACAAAGGTCAGGCAAGCTATGTCCATACACACCTGTGCCAAAGATGGAAAGAAACTTTGTCTCCTCTAGGCATTTTGTTTCTATCATCAAAACAGATGCCTTGTATTCCTCCCCTCGGTGGTACCATTGTATGTGGGAGGATGCCCATGTGTGTGTCTGTCGGAGGATACTCTCCAGCCTCATTTCTCAGGTACCTTCCACCTTTTGTATGAGACAGGATCTCCCCTTGGCTCAGAACTTCAAGTAGGTGACATCAAGCTTACAGGGATCCGCCTGTCTCACCACCACTGAGATTAAAAAGCATGGCTACCACACCTGCTGTTTATATGCTTCCTAGGAATTGAAGGCAGGCCCCTAGACTTGGGAGGCCACTGTCTTTACCAATTGAGCCATCACCCCCCTTATCTTGTATTTCTTTCTGTTGTCATTCACATGGGGCTTGAGGCACTTCACTGTGAGAGCTGCCGGGTGTTTCAAAGTCTTCTGAGAAATAGTACTGGAGGGAAGGGGGTTCAGCAGTCACAGGGAAGACATGAATGTCCTTGCAACTTGAAAAGACTGAACTCCTCCAGGCCCACAGTTCCAACACACACACACACACACACACACACACACACACACACACACACACACACACACACACACTGCATGTCCACAAAACAGAGAGGTATTCCCAGTTGCATTGTTTTATATATAAGTCAGGGAGAAACTGAATGTCCTACATAATTAGAGAAGACTATGGGTGCTAACTCTTGGGAGAGTCTGCTGCTTATTTTTTTTAGCAGAGACAGAGACTGCTTATATTTAGCAGACACAGAAACTGGAAGAAACAAAGAATAGGGCTGAGGCTTATAGTTCCATCTGTGTGATCCAAAAGGGAGACTTCTACCACCATCACTATTGTGCTACTAGGCTTTCTAGTGACTTTTATGCTTTACCTGCCACTGTGTGGACTTCGGTTCCACCGTGAGTGCCAAGTATTACAAGTAGCTCACACTGTATGCTTATAAGATTGTGTAGCAGAAGTGTCCAGCCTGTTGACATTGTGGCATGAAGTTGTAATCTACAAAATTTACATTCTAGAACCTACAAGTAGGCTACAAAAAGGTAGATGAAATCCATAATGAGGTTGGGGAGATGGCTTAGTAGGTAAGAGCACTTGTTGCACACGTGTGAGTTTGAATCCCAGCAGCTGTGTCAAAACTCAGACGTGACCACTTTCATATCTGTAGTCCAGTGCCACAGGGACAGAAACAGAAGAACTTAGGGGTATTGCTAGCTGTCAGCCTAGCTCTAGATTTAGTGAATAAGTCAGAATAATAGAGAGATACCCCATACCTTCCTTTGGTCTCTGCATGTATGCACAGACACAAACACTTGTGCCACAAGTGAGAATACATACTCCCACACATACACATCTGTATACTCACTGAAAAAAATCCTCAATGATTTAAGCAAGTTTAAACTGTGTTGGACTGATTCATACTTATCCTCAGGATGAGGGTTGGGCGCACCAGACTTCCTTGGCAAAGGATTATTTTCCATGGAACTATTGGCATAGTCAAGAAAGGATCATCATTCTTTTAGGATTTATTTACTCTTGTTTTATGAGTTTGAGCATTTTGCCTTCATGTATGTCTGTGTACCACTTGCATGCTGTGCCCACAGAGACCAGGAGAGGGTGTCTAGTTCCCTGGAATAGGAGTTGTGGCGGTTGTAGGCCTCCATGTGGGTGCTGGGAGCCGAACCTGGAACCTCTGCAAAAACATCCAGTGCCCTTAGCCACTGAGCCATCTCTCCAGCTCTGGGGCTTCATTCCGTGTTGTGGCAGTTAAGGGACAAAGAAAATGATATGTTTATTCACATGGGAAGTTGAACTCTGTCGTAGTTGAAAATGTGCAGACCATCCCCCTTCTCTTTTCATATCATCTTAGCTCTCAATGCTTAGTTGTCTGAAATGTGATAGAAACACCATGACATCTGAATTCAGGAGACTAGAAGTCAGTGCACCCTCACTATGTGCAAACTGGGTGACTTTGGGGGATCATTACACTTCTGTATATTTTCCTCATTTAGAATTGAGAACACCCTTCTTTCAGCATTCTGATTATGATTAAAGAAGTGATCCATTTGATAACATAAAGTAGCATTTAATCAATAAACATTTTAATTTTCTTTTTCTATTGTTTTTGGCAGTGGATGGTGATCCCCATTTTGTTGTGGATTTCCCCTTAAGCAAACTCACTGTCTGCTTTAACATTGATGGAGAACCTGGGGACATCCTACGGTTGGTCTCTGATCACCTGGACTCTGGTAAGTTCTGTCTTCTTCTGAGGTACTTAGTCACAGCCCAGGGATGGGGCATTTCATTCTCTGTGCCAAAGGTGAATGGCCAGTTATAGAAGAGAAACATCCTGGATGCTCAGTAGGCACCAATGATGATTGGTAAAGAAACTATACAGTTTCTGTACACACAATCAGACGCTTACTTTATACCCCCAGTGTGGCTCTGGGCATGCATCATAGCAACTGAAGAGTCTGTGAAATGGAGGTTGAAATACTCTGCTTGTCTCCAGGCCATTACATAGTAGATTCAACTGAATCACGAATAGGAACACTAAAGTGCTGTAGAAATTTATCACATCGTATTGTCATTATTTCCATTTAGAAGCTGTGGTGGTAGGGAGGTCATAGTCCCTGGAGACTCATGTGGAAATCCCAAACATTAAACACACAGCTCATGAATAGATATGAAAGGAGCTTTAGCCACCTTAGGTCTATAGAGAGATGAAGTAAAAGAAATTAGCACCAAAAATGCTTTATGAGTATAATGCAGGCAGAATTGCTTGGGGACAGCCATGTGGACAGTCACACAGTCCAGCAGAGTGAGGATTGGCTTTGGCATGCACCTTCTAGTATTGCTAGGTACTGAGCAGGAAGTGTCTTGGTAAGTCAGGTTGTAAACAGCCTCCTCGGGTGGCATTTGTGATGTAGCTACATGAAGTTTGAGCCCTGATCTCCATTATCAGATTGTATTCTTGCAGGCTGTCCTCACTTCATTTCAGTTGCTGACCTAAAACACCCTGAACAGAGTAACTTGGAGAGAAAGAGCTTATTTTATCTCATAATTCCAGGTTATTGTTCATCACTGAGAGGAAGTAAAAGAGGCAGGGACTTGAAGAAGCTAGTCATATCACCTCCACAGTCGAGGACAGAAAGAAATTTCTCCACTCTTATACAGTTCAGGAACCCTTGCCTAGGGAATGCGCTGCCCACAGTAGGCTGGGCCTTCCTACATCAATCAGTTTAAGACAACATCCTGCAGACATGTCCCCAGGCTTACCCACTACAGACAATCTGTCCTTGAGAGTCTCTTCCTAGGTGATCCCAGGTTGTGTCAAGTAGACAAGGCTCTCATCTTTCTAGCCTCAGAGTTAAATCTGTAATATTTTTCATTTAAAAGGCAGCTGGTATTGAGTCAGTGACCTAACTGTATCCCTCCCTGAACATGCTTGCTCTTAAAAGCTTTAGAAGGTTTGGATGTATAACATCCTTCATGTTTTGAATGCTTTGTCTTCAGATGATGACACTGATTATGGGAAGCTATAGAACTCTTAGGAGATAGGGCTTACTTAGAGGATGTGGGTCACTATGATTGAGTCCCTGGAGAAGAACTGATTTCTTGCTGTTATGCTACCTGCTTCCTGGTCCCTACCCGCATTAAGACTTTCTGCCACATAGTCCCATTACCGTGAAGAATGCTGCCTCGCCATGTTTCTGTACCAAATGAACTGAAATCCTTCTGAAGCCCTGAACCAAAATAAACCATTCCATTTTTATTTCAGTCAGACATTCTGTTATACCAACAAAAAAAGATCTTCCATGGTTTCTGTATTCACAATGGTGCCTAAGACATGAAATCAGTTTGTAGGTATTAAAGAAGGGTGTCTGTTCAGGCTGGGATTTCTCCTACCTTTTCGCCTTGGATATCTAAGGAGTTTCCAAGATATATTGAAGATAATCTCAAAGAAAATGAAAATTAATTATATACCAGTATTTTGTTGGTGAAAACTACCTCTTTTTGTGAAATCAAAGCATACAGCATACATCAAACTCATTCCCAAATATCCCACATACAACTGCATCTGTTTATTGTTCAGTAACACAGCACTGAACTCTGGGATGGAACTCCCAGGTCTTCTAGAGGTCGGAAAGTTGCAGTTGTGCTTATGATGTAGCAAACAGAGAAGGAGTTGTATCCAATGGCAGTTGATGGCTTTCATGTAAGCCTCTTTCTATAATACACCTCCCAGTTCTCTTAGGTTTTATATTTCCCCCATATTTTATAAGACAAGGAACTTCATATTAATGTTTTAACCAACTTTTCCAGGGATAAGCATGTATAAGGTAGAAGAAACTGGCCTACTGAATAAAAAAGGCATTTGAACTTTGAATCCTGCTCAGCAACATCAAAGGATCTAAGTTAGCATTATTGATAGCTTGTAGACATGGTGCCTATCAGAACCACACCAGCGGATACCAGAATGTCACAAAAATGAAAGTACACGAAGATATTAGTCATTTTCTATGACAGTTTGACCAAAACCTATGTCTTCCTTCCTATATTCATGCATTCACTCACTCAGTCAGCAGCCACTAAGTGGCCCATAGCTGTAGTTCAGACAGCAGTCTTAGTGATAGATACAGAGACAAGAAAGGTGGAAGGACATTCATTAGATACGATCAATGGCTTTCTGTATCAATGACAAAATGTGTGACATCTTGGGTCCTTATTTTGGGTCCTGATGTCAGAGTTCATAACTTGACTTCATCAGTTCTCAGCTCATAGAGAGGCAAAGAATCATGGTAGTGGAAGTATGGGACAGAGGGAGCTTATATCATGGCTGACAGGAAGTAGAGAGTCACAGAAGCAGTAGGGTGGCACAAGATACTCCCAAGTGACCTGTTCCCTCCAGCTGGCCCCTACCTCCCAAATTCTAATATCTATTAAAATATAACTACCATTTGAGAGATCAGTCCTCTTTCCATGTGCTCTGGGAGAGGCAGCTTGAACCCAAACTGTAACAGATGCTTTTAGTTGGAGAATGGACTTGACTTTTCTAACCTCTGTTTTTTTCTTGGCCTTTGAGGTGTAACTGTGAATGGAGAGCTTATTGGATCCCCAGCACCTCCAAATGGTCATAAGAAACAGCGCACATACTTCCGGACCATCACCATTCTCATCAACCGGCCAGAGAGATCTTACCTTGAGATCACACCAAACAGGGTCATCCTGGATGGTGGAGATAGACTGGTCCTCCCTTGCAATCAGAGTGTGGTGGTAGGGAGTCGGGGACTTGAGGTGTCAGTGTCTGCCAATGCCAATGTCACTGTCACCATCCAGGGAACCATTGCCTTTGTCATCCTCATTCACCTCTACAAAAAGCCAGCACCCTTCCAGCGAAACCACCTTGGATTCTATATTGCCAACAGCAAAGGCCTTTCTGACAATTGCCATGGCTTGTTAGGTAGGTGACTTCCCATGCTCAGTCTGTGATCCAAGGATAGAATTGGGTTTTCTAAAAGGAAGTTCATGTGGCCAATATCATGAGCTTGACAGAAAATTACAGTGGGAGTATGGCCCTTCTGTGCTCACCATCTTCTGAGGCTGTAGCTCCAGGATCTCTCAAGAGCACTAAAATCTAAGGATGCTTGAAGTCCCTTGTCTAAAACATGCAGCATTTTCATAAAACCTATTCACATGCTTCCCTCTGTTTTAAATAACCTCTGAGCTACTTACATACCAAAGTACTGTTAATGCTATGCAAGTAGTTGTTGTACTGCATTGTTTATGGAATAATGACAAGAAGGCAGTCCGTATGTTCAGTGTCAGTGTCAGTGTATGTTCTCCCATGAATTATCAGTTTACAGTTGACAAAGAAGTCAGAATGTCACCTGCAGAAAGCCCAACTTCATATATCATGTGAAAATTACATTAGTGTGTGTGTGTGTGTGTGTGTGTGTGTGTGTGTGTGTGTTCATGTATGTGTGGGGTACATGGAAATGTGAGGGTCAGAGGACCAGTTTGGGTATTGTTCCTCAGATGCCTTCCACTTTTTTTTTTAGGCAGGCCTCTCGTCAGCCTAGAACTGTGCAGCTATAGACTAGCTGGCCCATTATATTCCAGGGATTATTCCATCCCACACCTAGCTATCTCTGGAATTACAAACCTATGCCACCATGACCAACTTTATAATGAGTTCCAGAGACCAAACTAATGTTCTCACTCATTTGAAGCCAGAACTTTGCTCACTGAGTCATCTCCCCAGCCCTGAAAATTGTACTTGTTTCATGAGTGGGACTTATATACCAGTTCTCATTAGACTTCTGAGAACTCAAAGAGGTAAGAAGCAGTCATCCAAAGAGCTGGTTTCTTGCCATTCTGTGAGAAGAAGGAGATCCAGGGCTGACAGGAGAGGCGGATGCCTTTCCTAGCAGTCATCTGTATTGCTATGAGCAGCAGGCCGGCCACGCTGGCTGGCTAGCCTTCTTCAACGTGCAATCTCACGTGGGCCCTTTGCCCCAAAATGAAGAGTGAGTCACTTTCAGAGCTCGGTTTAGAAGGCAGGATTTCCTGGCACTTGAGCTTGCTATGTTTCATTGTGTTTGGCTGCCGAGCATAACTTCTGTCTCCATGTTCCCTTGGCCTGAGCAATGCCCTCGCTTGACCTGGAAAATTCTGAGACTGAGTGACAGGAGTGAACTGAGCTGACTGTTTCCACTACTCTACCCCCAGTACATAACAACAAGTGGATGGTATGAAGGGAATCTATTGCCGAGGAGAGGAGAGGAAGGGCATGGCTCTATGTCCTACTTATCTGCTACCATGCTGTCCTACCAATTTAGCCAAGATTGCCCTAACTCCATTTGTTGTCTCAGCATTTGCTCAGCAAATGGACAGTTCCCAGAAGGGGCAGACCATAATGAGGAGAACCCACATAGTCTCATGCACAGGTTTCATCTCAACCTGGACAATAAATGAATGCCTCCAGGGAGGGCCTAGCCTAGGACAATGGTCCATGAAAAACCCTCCTGCCCCTGACACCACCAACATTAGGTACCAGCTCTTGTCTGCATTCAACTTATATCAGTTTTTCCCCTCTTTCAGGTCAGTTCCTGAACCAGGATGCCAAACTCATAGAAACTCCTGCAGTGCACAGCAAGAATCTTAGTAATCAGTCATTTCCTCAGACAGAAGAGATTCCTGAGGCTATCCTAAAGGTGAAAGGACGCCAAGTTCCAGTGGTCTGGAAGCAAAGGAAGATTTATAATGGGCAAGAGCAGATAGACTGCTGGTTTGACAGAAACAATGCCGCTAAGCTGATTGACGGGGTGTATAAGAACTACCTAGCATCTCATCCATTTGACACGGAGAGCATACTGGGCCTGAGGAGGTCCAGGAGAGCTGAGACTGGCAGTCTTCATGAGGAGAGTGTCTAACAGGGAATCGACTTTGGATCTACTCTGGATGCAGCTCTTCTTGTTACCTGTGCCTGTCTTGCCTCTTGCTATGAGCTGCACTGTGTAGCCTGCCTCCTGGTGGAGTGGAGGTCCAATGTATGCTAGAGCAATGAGTCAGGGCAGGAAGCTGGAGTGGAAATACTATATTCTACTTCCTCTTCCTACCTTCCTCATCCCATCTGTACTAGACAAAAATGGTAGCACCAAGAGGAGAGGAGATCTAATTAAGTAAAATTGTGTAGCACCTGGCATGGCCACCTCTTAGTCTACTGTAAAGTCACCCTTCCCGAGGAAGTAAGGTTGCCATGGGATTTGTTTTCTCTGTAGCATTGTCTGAGTTGGGGCAGTCTGCTTTTGCCCTATATTCATGCTTAGAAATCACTCTTTTCAGTTGCCTTCCTCAGATGGTGCTCTCAACTTCTTCTCTCAAGGTCATCTACATTGAGGCCAGGCCACCAATGACGCAAATAAGTAGTCCTCACTTGAATCGCTCTAAATGACCAAGGCTTTTCTTAGCAGAAGATTGGTATTTTTATTTTTTGTGGGTTTTTTCTCTGTTGTGGAATCTTGCCTTTAAAAATTAGTTTTCATTGTAAAAATTTAACTAAAAATAGAAAACTCAATCTTCCAGATACTGATCTCTTCTTAATTGACTTATGAGGTAACTTGACCTTGCTGGTGGGTGCTTTCCAATTTGTTCTAATAAGCTAAGTGCTTATAATAAACAGGACAATTCCCTGTGGATGGTCTTTACTGGCCTGTCTTGGTGCTGGATAGCAAGATAGTTGAATGATAAATCTTCTACTCAGAGCACTTTAGCTCATGCTGTAAGTCCAATACCTTTTGGTTTTGCCTTTGGATGTCCAGGAAATGTAAATTACATGAAACTAGCACTGTCATAACAGAGAACCCTAGCCTAGAGTAGCTGTTTAGCCTACCTGTGGGAAGAATCAACTTTTACCTTCTCAGAAGGAAGTGATTGTGTGCCTGGAAACATGGCTGTTTCACTATGAACTAGTAGCAGTATTGGTTGCCTGTAGAAGACAGGGTCCATCAATATTCCATCCGTGATGGGGGAGGGGTCATAAGGCCCCACTCCTGCCTGAAGAGCTATGGGCAGTTAATTGCTTGACAAAGGGGTGTCATAATCCTCAGCTGGAATATCTGCTGGTAAATTGTCCTTGCTCAAGAAAATAATGCCCAATTCACAGTAAGCAACTCTAATTGAATACAATGAGCCACACACACACATATATATATGAGACAAGAAAATAAGAGGGGACAAGGAAGTTGTAAGAGAAGATCATGGGAGGAAGTGAAGTGGATCAATGTACATTAGGGAGATGCCTGAAATTGTGAATGAATACACTAAAAAAAATCTAAGAAGACATTCCCGCATCTCAGATGGGCACAAGCTAGGAAATCAGTGTGAGTTTTAGTTGTAGCACTTAGATGACGCTAAGCCCCTAAGGAAAGCCTGCAATCAGAGGAGACTTTAAAATATTAACATGTGTGATTTTATTGGGACTGTCCTCCATCGAGTCTGTCCATCTCATCCAAGAGCAAAGAAGATGCCGGAGAGCCTGGGCCTCCATTCTTATACTCCTTGCCATCCTTGGCTGTGCTTGGGGCTGGTGTGTGAGGAGCCTGCCTGGAAACAGGTGAGCAGGAAGTGATGGGAACGAACAACAGAGAAAGGAAAGGAACACACTTGGGGGAAGCAGTGTTTTGATGGGGACCTGAGTGAAAGGTTCTATGCTGTCCCCACATAATATTTCTTCCATTGAGCACCGTGCCGAGGCAACCTCTGCAGTGAGACAGGAAGGCTGCTTGGCACTTGGAGAGAAACTGGCATCTAGAAAATTGCTTTGCTTCCTGTGGGAAGCACTTGAGCAGCACAATGACATCCACATGTTCTTCCTGTCTGACCCCCAAGCAGCCTCAAGAGCTAGCTAGGGTTGCGTGAGTCTCTTTCTCTCTTTTCCACGAACCCACCAGGCCACAGTCGGTCAGCTGTGCTATTTATCTGACTCCCCGTGTTCCCAGACTCATCTGTCCATTCTCAGGCCAGGAGTGCAAAGATGAGGAACCGTATGGCTGCCAGATGTTTCCATCTTTTCAGGCGTAGAGAAAGAGAGGATCTCAGCCAGGCATAACCCATGCTGGCCCCAATGGCGTATTCCAGGGACCTTCCTATTACATAAATTCCAGCTGGAGAGACAACTCCGGAGCTAAGGGTGGGGAGTATGGGTGGGGGGGTTGGGGTGGGAGGGGCAGCCCAGGGGTGGGAGGAGCAGCCCACCAGGCCCCTGGGTTGCACTCAGAGTGATGATATGGGTGTGTTGTTCTCGATGTTGGCTTCACCCCCAACAGAAGAATATCATTAGGCAAGAGCAGTTTCTACTGCTATTGTCTAAGAGCAGAAGCCCATGGGAGATACCAATGAAATGTCCATCATGTCCATCACTTGCTCTTCTTTCTAGAAAAGAAGTCAATCTAAAAGGTGACAGATTTTACTCAGAAGTTGCTTTTTAACTTTAGATAGATATTCTACAGTAGCTTTCTCTCTCTCTCTCTCTCTCTCTTTCTTTCTTTCTTTCTCTCTCTCTGTCTCTGTCTCTCTCTCTGCAAAAAGCATTTACTATTCGATGATCTAAAATACCTTATATCTATCTGCGCACCCCAAACCACACACCAATAGGTAAGTTTTCATTTTACTGGATATGTGTGTGTGGTAGACAGAAAACTCAAGAAACTTCATGGAGAAGACTGTGTTTTCAAAAGGGGAAATAGAGGTAGCTGAACCACTTTCTCAAGTTATACATGTAAGATATAAAGTAGGGGTAGAGTTGAACTGCAGAATTCACATGTTAGATTTGATGTTTTTCATCACCTGGTCAATCATTTATTTTCCTTGTGTGCTCTGTAAAAGATAAAGTAAGAGTGACTGGGCTGGAGGAAAATGTTGACAATAAATGAGATAAATCAAGTTGTTATAGCAGTAGTTAGTGTTAATGAGTCAGTGATCTGAAGAGTTGAGTAAGTCATGCTCTGGCTTCTAGCGCCTCCGCCCCACTAATGAAAAAGGCATAGAAATGGGTCATTTAAAAGAGTCTTCTCATTACCATTTCATATAAAATGATCTGACTATACCCCCATCTGCCCATCCCATGGATACTGAGAATGTTTGTCAGGATGAAGTATTGTGTCAACCCTTGTGGGCTCAGAAGCCACCCTGAAATTGTAGGAAGCTAGGAACTGGGGACAACAGTTTGTGGTTCTTATCAGGAGTCCCAGTCAATGTTTACCTGCACTCAAGAGGCAGAGGCAGGCAGATCTATGAGTTTGAGGCCAGCTTGGGCTATATAGTGAGTTCTAGGACAGCTGGGTCTATGTAGGGAGGGCTATGTGAAACCCTGTATAAAAAAAATCAGTGTGTGTGTGTGTGTGTGTGTGTGTGTGTGTGTGTGTGTAACACCCTGAACCGTGTGTCCTCACAGAGGGATAAGAGCAGAGTTCTTTGGATAAATGAATGTTGTAGACTGAAAGAATCTTTCCAAAATCCTCACGCTTAAGCATACCTCCCTACTGCGATGATCTGTGCAGGTGGACTATTTCAGAAAGGATGGAAATGATGTAAATTCAGTCCTCACGCATGACATTCTCAAAAAATGTTTGCTAAAAATAAGCATGAGACTCCGTTGGTGAAGTGTTCACTTTGCAAGGACAAGAAACTAAGTTCAATCCCCAGAACTCAAAAGTGTCAGGCATGGGGATGCACACACTCAATCCAGGGAGGCAGAGGCAGGTAGATCTCTCAGCTTGCTGGCCAGTCAGTCTAGTGGACTTGGGGAATTCCAAGCTAGTGAGAGAATTTGTTCTGAAAGACTAAGAAGAAGGCATCTATGGAATAAAAACCAAAGTTATCTTCTGCCCTGCACATGTGCATGCACAACTAGGACACATATGTGCACCTACACTTATGAACACACACGCAAAAGGCATGAAGTTGCTCTCTTTGTTATGTAAAAATATAACACAAAGGTGGCCATGCAGAAGCCAGGAACCACACCAGACACCAGATCTGTGCCTTGATCTAGATCTTCTCAGTCTCCAAACCTCCAAGCAATACATTCTTTCTGCTTAAAACATCCACATTATAGTATTCTTCGTATAACAGCCCAGACTCACTAAGACAATAAAGTACTGAAAATATAGTTTTCACCTTTATTCAGGCTACCCAGAATTTACAAAAGTAATGCTGTTGTTAAAATCTGAAAGACTCCTGGAAGCATAAGGACATGATCCAGCTAAAATAAACAGCAACTACAATAACACAGCTAACCAAATACTTAGAGATGCAATGTTAAATATTTATTTTAGCCTGTTTTAAATAAGTAGAGTACAGATTGTTCGCATCTCAAGAGGCTTTATTTCTTAAAAGCTTGTAAGAAAATGATGTCTAAAAACAAACAGAATAGTATGTTTATTTTCTAAGGGAAAATGGAATCAGGGCTACTGAGAATAAAACTTGATAATTCTAACCACACTGCTTGTTTGTAGAAATTTCTGCACTACAGTCCTGAGCATAAGTATTCTTGTGTCAATGATGGACCATATATATGACAGTGGTCCTGTAAAATTATAATAGAGTTGAAAATTCTATTGCCTGATATTGTTACTGTATTTTAATGTCTAGATGTGTTCATATGCACAAATATTTACCATTGTGTTATAGTTGCTTAAAGGATTCATAGTGACAGCTATACATGTTTGTATTCCAGAAGCAATAAGATATGAGAGGCAGCATTGGTAAATAATAAACATTGCCATCTAGGTTTGGGTGTGTATATTATATGATGTTAACACAAGAGGGGTCACCTTCCAACACATTTCTCAGAATGCATTTCATCATTAAGTGGCATGCAATTATATATACAATCCATCAGTAGAGTGCAGACATTGGGAGAATGACATAGAGAGCAGAAAATTTACAGATGCTATCCCTGTGATCTTTTATTTTATTTTTATTCCTGTGCACATGTATCTCTGTATGCACAAGTGTGTATTTGCAGATGCCAGCAGAGACCAGGAGAGAGTATTGGATCCTGTGTAGCTGGGGTTCAGAAAGTTGTAAGAAGACCAATGTGGGTGTTGGGAACTGAACTTGTGTCCTCTGGAAGAGCAGCAAGTTTCCTTAACTGCGGAGTCACTTCTCCAATCCTCCCCGTGTTTTATAAATCGATCAAATACACAAGAAGGACGGGCTCTTCGGACATACTGAATTTTCAGCACCTTCTTGTTGGGTTAATCAATTGCATACACTTTATCACATCATCTTGCTTGGTGCTTCTTCCAAGCAAGGAATTTCTTTCCACTGTTGTGGTTTGAATAGGAAAGTGGCCGTTGTGGAGGCACAAATAATGATTTACGGGACCAGGCTCAAATACAGGTTAAATCTAATTTATTTCGGGGAGAAGTCACTTACATAAGAAGCAGATGGGCACCGCAGGTTCCCACTCTAAAGATTCACACCTTGAGAGCCACCTGCCGGGACCCCAGACCTAAACTCACTTCCAGTCACGTCCTCACCTGTGACCACGCCCTTTTGGGGATATCTCACTACACCCCATCCGTCCTGCAGGGACTCATATGCTTGAACACTTGGTCTCCAGATGGTGTCGCTGTTTGAGATGGTTATAGATTCTTTTTTTTTATCATTTTTATTTTAATTTTAAATAG